CCGTTGCACAAGGCCATCATAGATTCTTGGAGATGCCAGAAGTAACCAGCTACAACACATTTTTGAAAAGTGGTGTGACGAGCTTAAGCATCGGCGAGGTCTCGTGTGAGTTGATTGCTCATGCTATCACGGGCCGATATGCCAGCGGCAGCTCAGCAATCAAAATCTAGGCCGAAGATAGACGAGTGTCCCGATGCTTAGCCGTCTGACGCGCGGAAGAGCTGAAGCGAGTACATCGAATTGTGCATCGAGTCGATAATCTTGGTTTTCGTGATAGCGGCAATCTTCTAGGCCTGAGAATCCTTCTCAGTCGTGGACAAGCGGTGCTGCAAGTCCACCGAGTCCGAAACGATAGCTTGCATTCACCGAAGATGGGAAGCATTCTCTCGGTGGGACTGAGAAAGATACACGCACAAGGCCACGATATCCGCGGATTGGTCGACGACAGGAGCAACATTAGCGGTCATCAAATCGTTTAAATTATTCAGCATGCGAAATCGAACAAAGAATTGCCTCAACGACGGATAAAGTGGGCGAGGAGATTCCATCAAGTTCACGATCACCCGGATGAATTAAACTTCGCAACGCTGCATGCGATCGTCGATGCTCGATATGAGTCGACGAAGATCCAGCGTATCCAGCGATGACCCATATCCTTGGTCAATGAAAGACACGTCCTGGAAAGGGTCGGTAGGGACGATGCCAGGCACAGAAGAATCACTGAATGCTTTCACGACAAAGTTTACAGCGCACCGTCCGATCCCAATTACATATCTACGGACGTTGTCGATGATGAAGATGGTTTTAAGGCCACGAGTTGTCCTTTCGACTAGTGACGACGTGGAAGAAGAAAGCGTGGATGATGACGGTGGATCAGATCAAAGCCGTGTCTCGTGAGTCGTCGATGGAAGGTCGTCGATAGACTGGAAAATACAACAGAGAACAATACATCGAGCAGAGTACAAGATACCAGCCGCAACGATAAGTAAGGAGAGCAGCATCATGGCGGCATATACCATGGTACATCGATAACGTTCCGGAATGACGAATTAAAGTGGCGACGAAGAGAATGGTCGAGGAAATCGCTTGTTAGGTTCGTATCGCGACTGGGGAAGTTGTGGTATAGAAAATTAAAACATCTCAATACCAGCGTGGGGTTAAGCGAAGCGGTGTCGACAAACCGAGTTCCGGTGATGCAAATATCAGCGACTATGTGTCGGCGACTCAAGTGTCAGTGACTACGTGTCGGCAACTCAAGTGTCAGCGACTCAAGTGTCAGCAAGCTCAGTATCTATGACCCAAGCGTCGGCTACCTGAGTATAGGCGACTCAAGCGTCGACGAATCAAGTGTAGGCGGGCTCTGTTTACAGTGCAGAATGCGAGAAGATCGAAAGACAAATTCATCACTTTATTTGTATAAGAACTAGGGAAGGACACAGAGCCATTCAAACTGGCTCTGCGATATCGTAAAAGAGATAAAATAATGCAGTACAGAATTTTTGAAGTTTAAGACATGCGTACACTTGAAGTAATTCTCTATATGGGCTATATTATGCATGCCGTCGAACCTAGCGAGGCATAGCCTGTAGGGGTATCGACTGGTAGAGCGAAGAGCTTGGGAAGTCCCGGGCCGGGCAGTGCTCGCTACCATCGAAAGAAGGAGTCTCGTCGACGACGATCGGCAAAACCCAGAAAAGTGACCATTTTGAGTCTCGTCAACGACGAGCCGGAGAAGTATTGAGGAAGTCCCCGTTTTTCAAAGACTTTTCCGAATGAAGAGACGGTGGGTCCCAGACGAGGCACCGTAATTATTCGAGTCGGCGTACACTGCGCCTGGTGATCTATAAAAGTACGTACTGCGTCGGCTTCCACCCATTGATGTGAAGCCACAGGAAGAGAGAGGTTTAGAGGATGGTAAGCTTAGGCAGGCTTCTGGGGGGATTGATCGTAAGTAATCTGCTGGGCGAAAGCCACAGCTGAACCCGAAAAGGCAAACCGCGTAGGAATTTTTCCCAACGTACGAGCCCGTGTCGCCGGCTTCACTCGTACATTGTTGTTTGTACGTTAAGACTGTGAGTGAACAGTTTTGACTAACTACTACATCACAAACGCACATTTAGCATTGACTGGTCGTCCTGTTGGCTGAAAAGATGGCGTATTTCATCGAATGAGCATTGTCCCTGTGTTTCTACCGCATACTATCTCCGATAGATATTTTCTCATTTATTCGACCCTTAGATGGAAATATTGTCAGACATGAATGGTCATATAATGTTTATAAGTAACCGCTATCTAGCCATCATCCTATTGCTACTTGCCCCGTAGTCCTAAATTTTTCGAAATCCGATTGGTCAAAGTGTAAAATGGGAACATCTTATTGACATTTCTTTAATGAACTTTATACGTCACGAAGAGACCTTTGCGCTTCGTGAATGAAGTTGATCGACATAGTGTTGAGCTTCGATCGCCATGTTGTTGCTGCTAGGACGTCCTACAAGCTTGTGATACCGGTGACTAATCGATTTGATTTTGTGTGGTTTTTGATGCTTTGGTAGCGTGTATGCTTATGATCACGGACGAGTTTCAGTGGCTGCTGGCATCTGAGGGAATTCCCATGAATATCGTATGTCGCATTTTAAAGGTAAATTTTATGTAAAGAATTGGAGGCTACTGCTGCAACAGAACATTGATGAGAAGCCACTAACAGTGCGTACTAAATATTGCAGATTATGGTCAGGTCTAAACAGGGCCACACGGACCAGTTGGTGCTCATCACGTTGGCCCAAGAAAGTTGTTTGAATCAATTGCGCGCTTTTTCACCACAATGCAGGAGACGCGCGACCCACTGCAGGTCGCAAGTGACGATGTGGATATTTTGCTGAGCGGGACGCCAATGTTACATGTTTCTGTTTTTTGTTTATATGAGCTATGAACAAGGTGCTTGGCACGAAAAGAAGAAGGCGGAGGTGTAGCAGCAACGCAGCTCAAATGCCACTGTATTCATTATATCTTGTGAACTAAATAGCGTTGCTGACAAACAAAACAAACATAATTCCATGAATAATGGAGCGGAAGACAGCCACGTATTGTCACCATGGACAATGTGGGTACTTTATTACGTAGACCGTGTTGCTGTTTCAACATATTTAAATTTTACTCTCCAGTGCTTCTGAATCTACTGTTGTTGCTGCTGGTGCTGTGATTGCTGATGTTGGTGCTGCTGGTGTTGGAGTAGCTGTTTTTTGTGCTTGGGGACGACAAGTTCGGGCATTGTGGCCTGTTTGCTAGCAAGTCCGACATTGCAGGCGCCGCACAGGATCTTCCAACGCACCTGCAACATGTTCGGACTGCGATAGGGGCAATCAGCAAGAAGTTGATGACTAAATAGCGGTTTTCTTTTTATTATGATATATAACTAGATGTCAACGCGAATATTATAGTAGAACAGGGTTGCCCCAAAACACTATCTGAATCAAAGCTGAATTCGTTGTGGATCGAGTGGAGTGACTACGGGTCAAACGGATATCGGTATGACAACATCATCAAAATCATCACGCACGTATGCTAAACTTTGAGGATAAGTTCCTCGCACCTCATGAAAATGGTCGTTGTTTCAAAAAATGTCACTCGCATCTCATGAATAGGTTGTTGACTTCCAACTCGTTATGGTCCGTTGTAACGCACTGCTTCGTCGCACTATGAGTCCATTGTGTAGTCGATTTTTGACGTCTTTCGCTTACTCGTTCCCTTTGTCATAGTTCCACAACGAGTATTGCGCTCGGGTGCTATGCGCGCAGGCGAAGCAAGCTTTGGATACGCATGACTGTACAGCCTTGTAGTCGCAAACTTCGTCTACCGCGAGAGACGAACATAAGTTTTGTGCTGGTGTCGCAGTAGTAGCTGTGACGACTAGAGCGCTAGCAGCGTCACGAGCTGGAAAAGTCCACGTTTTTCGTTGGCAATGCCAGCCTGGATGACAATTAAACGTGTTCATGTCGAGCAGTTATTGGTGATGATACATATATATAGTTGCTTTGCAGACATCCAGTGACCGGGCGTTTCGTTGCGGGACGCAACTACATATCGGTCTGACGCGAACCCCATTGCTATATTGCTTCTCGACTCTGTCGGACAGGTCCAGCCGAATAGCATGAAGGCAATCGATCGACTGGATGCAAAATACCGATGTATGGTGGTAAAAGCAAAAGTAGCTTTCGAAAAGAGGCGCTCAGAAATCTCATCAGGCCATATGTGATCTTGATGTCGATCAAACACCTGCTTATTCTTGCTGTTTGTCCGACTACTCTCGTCAGCAAAAAAGCTGAAGCTGGAGCACGACGTGTTTCGAAACATCAGCGCACCAAAGCGCAATCTTCATGGTTTTTTGTTATGGGCGCGACTGCACACCATTTCAGCGCCTAAAGCAGCTCGGAAGTTGTCAATGCGTCGACATGGTCGAGCAAGAGATCCCCAGGCGCTTTCAGGATGCAAAATGGGTGCGTCTCCTTCGACAAAAGTGTCATCCCACTCCCGTAAAAGGCACATATGCAGTCTACTGACCTTCCTTCGATCCCTGACAGCGACAGGTGACCGTTACATGGAACGGTGGGTCGTCTTACAACCGACACGGGGCTCTATCGTACATTTCATAGCTTATTTTCAATGCTGTCGTAGTTTGTTTAGTATGGCGATCGGCACGCACACGTAAGCTTCTCAAAGGCGACCGAAGTGGCATGAACCTCTCGACTGGATTTCGAAAGCATGTGGTCCAGTTGATTACGAGAGACTTGTCTACCCCTTTCGTGCGCATCTTTTTTGTCTGGCTCCTGCAATCAGCCTGCAGCAGAGACATGAAGCACGTTCTTGTGGCGCGTTGCACGGTCCATTTCAATTGGTCGATCCAATAGGTCGACCAATTGAAACGTCGACCTCCATTGGCCCTCTCCCTTCATAACGCAATGAACAGGTTCCGGCGCACGGCCACTTTGCCGCCAGTGACAATGGCACTCGCTCGTGTTCGCTGCGTCCAGACACACTGCGTCGACCTCAATCTGTACGTTCATATTCTACCCGCCGCATGCCGCGATTCCATTGCGCCCGTCCGCTGCGCTGTGTCGACCCACTCGCTTGTTTGACATCTTTGCTTTTGTGCTGTTGACGGTGTAGCCAAGAGCCCATGCCCATGCACCAAGTGCGCCAAATGGCAGACACAGAGCCCACGCCACTTTCGCTGCAGCAGATGCGCTCGTTCTCGGATGGATGTGCCAAGCTGCGCATCGTGTCAGCCAAGTTCCTGCACAAGGAGCTACAGTCGCGATTCGCTCGGTGAGACTGTGGTTTTGAGCGGCAAATCGGCTGAGAGATGTGGCAGATTGCACACGATTCGCCACGACTTTGCAGTGGGTGTGACTGATTGTTGTGTGCTTTTTATGCGGGTGAACAGTGCGATTATGGAGCTGGCAGACTTGCCGCTCGGGTTGAGCGATACGACGTCAATTCGTCAAGCGATTAATGTCTATCGTCGTGAGCTGCAGTGGCTCAGTTCTGTCAAGCCACCCAGTTCCATTGTGAGGAATACATTGAGGGCAAGGAAGTATAGGTGATGAGACTTTGTTGCTGACGCTTTGTTGATGATATCGATGTGAACAGGCAGAGGACCAGCAGTTTACCGAGACGCTACGTCAAGCTAAGGCAGGGGGATCCAACTTGGTACCGCTGATATGCTACGGGCTACAGCAGCTGAAAGCTACGGATCTTGGGCACAGTGCGTTGCAAATCGAGAGTGCCCAAGAGGACATCAAGGACCGACTGGACAAGTTTTTTCTCGGACGCATCGGCATTCGCATGCTCATCGGTCAACATGTGGAATCGCTTGCGCGTCCGGGTGGCCGTGTGCATCTTGTGAACGTGGAAGAGATCGTGCGTGAGGCTTGTGACCGTGCCGCGAAGCTATGTGAACAGTACTCTGGCGCAACACCACCTCTGGAGATACACGCAACGGAAAGCGCGAGCACCCCGTTGATGTACGTGCGATCGCATCTGCACCACATGGTAAGCCGTGCGTGTCATTCGTTCTGAGACGCAGCTGCGGTTCTGCTTGCTCACTCGATGGTCTCTTTTGCGTGCAGGTCTTTGAGTTGGTGAAGAATGCAATGCGTGCAACAGTTGAGTATCACGGAAAATTGAAGCACAGAGCTCCCGGCGCCGTCAATCGCTTTCAACAGACAATGAACCCATACAGCCCGTCGTTGGGCTTTTTCTTGCCGTCGGTACGTTATTGGCGGTAGAGTGTATTGGATCGTACATGCGTGGTGGATGTTTACTGTGCTTTTGTTTGACGATCAAGGTCGCCGACGTATCGGGTGTCAAGATTTTTCCAGATGTTAGCAAGTACAAGCTTCGAAGAGAACTTCCACCAGTGGAGATCGTGATTTGCGTGGGGAGCGAAGATCTGACCATCAAAGTGAGCGACGAAGGTGGAGGTGTGCCGCGGAGTCGTTGGAATAAGCTGTGGCACTACGATTATACCACAAGTCCTCCGTGCCCACCCATCGACTTCAAAAACTATCACAGTTATAGGCAACACTACAGTGGCGGTGGCTACGGACTGCCTATGGCAAGGCTGTTCGCACGCTATTTCGGTGGCGAAGTCACATTCACGTCGCTCGAAGGGTCCGGGTCGACGGGATTCATCCAGGCACACCGCTTGGGGAGAAATATGGAAGTCATTCCTGGACACGCGTCGTATAACCTGCCGTCGCTTTACTCGTAGCTTGGACATGGATGTTGAATGTCATTAACGAATGCATAACTTAATGTAAGAGATAAAATAGCTCTCGGGTGGTTGTTCACGGACTTCGCCAAGCACGAAACCGGTTACAAGCTGCTACTACCCATTGATGGCTTGGCAATCAAAATGTCGACCTGGGAGAGACACGAATGTGATGGAGCTCCTTTATTGCCTCTATTGTAGCAAGCGTTCTTCAGACGGCGTTCAGGTACACACGATGCGAGGTAACTACAACAGTTGACAGCAATCAAAGTACAAACGATGCAATACAATCACATTAGCGTAGAGCACCACAGAGACGAATGGATAACGTTGACCGTCCCGAATTTCTAGCCGTTTGTTCATACTTGGTAGCCAACCGCCAGTAGTCACGACAAACACCTTGCCGCCGTACTTGTCTCTATTGCTCCGTCGTTGTTGCATCGCATCGCAGTCATCGGCAGAAAACAAGATGGTTATCCCTTTTTCAATGTCGATAACGCAGGTCGCGCTTCTATTCCAATGCGGCAGCAACGAGCACTATGTCTTACGAAATGCGCAGACTCGAGATACAAAAAGCCGCGTCGTGCTGTCCCACACTTGGAAACAATTCAGCTCGCATGACATCATCAAGCACACTCAGCGCTCGATTGGCATGGAAAACTACGACATCATCTCGATCCACACGCGCCACGTGCTTGAGCGCACGATAGAGTGGCAGCAGCTGATCCGGCATGAGTTCCAAAATCTTCCAGCCAAGCAGTTCAACGAGATACCGAAGCACAAACACCGCTCCACGTCGTACTGCTACAACACGCTGCTGCCACTCTTCCGCTTGGTGTCTCCGCAGTTTTGTCCTATCATGGTCCTCAGTGACATCCATATCAACAGGCATCGGTCGATGCTTGGTATCACGCTCAACCTCAAGCTCCAGTTGAAGAACGCCAAACACACACGTGAGCACGTCCAACAAGTACGGCTGCAGCCCCCACTGTAGCAGAACACACACTTCAGCCAGATTTGACAAACAGCTCGCCCGCAGAGTGGCGGCGACATGAAGTTCCTGTTCATTCTCCGGCCCGTTGTCAGAGTGTTCGACTTTCTCTTCCGCCTCTACTTTTACCTCATCCATCTGAACCTCTTGAACAAGCTGCACGCACGTGCTCGCCTCATCTTGTACGCTCTTCACTCGCTTCGTCTGAGAAGGCGAGGGGCGAATGCAATCCAAGTATGCGTACACAAACAGCTTGCCATACTTGGGCAGAGTCTCACCACATCGCCTCGCTGAAAACAGCAACGCTTCACTGAGCTTAATGCGAGCTTCCAGTGATTCATTATCATCCCTCAGTGCTTTTACCAGTGCAGGAATGGCCACATCGGGATCCACGTCTGCTAGCGCCGCCAGACCTTGTACAGCCGCAAGAAACACGTAGCTTTCTGCGTCATGTAGATGAGCCAAAAAGACGCGAGCCAAAACGTGTACCCGCGACGTCCACTCAGAATCGCGTGAATGCAAATGGCTTTGACGGACAAGTTTTGTCAGCGTTACGATTCCACGAGCCCGCAGCGGTACCAGCTCACTTGAAAGATCTTGTTCAGCTTTTTCAAGCAGTTCTTCGAAACTCTGTTCGCCTGCTCTAACCGTGTTTGTGGTTATCGCTTCCACGGCGCTACGACTCAGAATCCGTGCACGCACCTCGCTCGCAAGTCCTGCAGCTTCAGGTCGCTCGTGGCACGACAATATCTCCAGCACAGGAAGCATTTCACGAAGCTGCTGCTCTTCTGAGTCGCTGCGGTGTGCCGATCCCATCTCGAGAATGGTCAGCACTACACCCAAGCATACTATCAGAATCTCATCACCTTTTTCCTCTTCACCATCAGTATCATTAACCTGTACAAAGCTATCAATTTGCTGCCTTTTGTCCACCAACGGTGTCACAGGGGTGTTGTACATCTCCAACACAATTCCAATGCACTGCAGCACTGTCGTAGCACTGCGTAGCACAGATGACCCTAAACACTCGATGAGTGCCACAAGCAACATCAATACGATTTCGACACTTTTGGCAGTCATAGGAATCTTTTCAGATCCACAAAACGCGAATCCTGAAGTCATACAGCCTCTCTTGGCGTTTAAATCAATCACTGCTGCCTCGCCGTGTTTTCGGACGTTCATGTACGTCAACAGGAGTGACGAAAAGAGATCACCTACCACGTCCGATGTTTCGAGTTCCTTGTCACCAAGTAGTCCAACCAGAGGCATTATCATCGCTTTCAGTGGCCCCGTTGCATCGTTTTGTTCACCTGCTATCGAGACAGGGGACTGGACATGTCTCAGCGAGATGCCACCACCCCCTCCAGCAGAAAATTGCAGCAGTGGTCGCCATGACGCTTCATTATGGCTTCGTCCATATCCGCAAGCGACCAAGGTTGGCGGCAAGGGCAACGGTACTGGAAGCAGCGCAAACTGCAGAGAAACTGCAGCATTCGGGCACGAACGAATCCACGCAATCAGCACCGCACGTAGAGGTGACGCCAGAAAGCTTTTGCTCGTCGCTGCAAAAGCGTACATGTGCACCAGGGGGCGAACGATTGGGGTGAGAGCTTGTAAAAGCTGTTGAGACGGAGGCGGGCCGCAAATGAGCAGTCTGGTGGTACTCACACAATGCGTCAACGCTTCTTCGCACGTCTCCTTGGCTGAGGCGATCATCGCGTCTGGTCGACTGTCCTCATAGATCAGCAACGGGCGAAACAAAACGGACAAAATGTGCGTGTCAAACAGCTCCGGGTGGCGTGCCGCCACCTGATCGGCAAGCAATGCCGCCATCTCACCGAGCAATTTGCTGCAAATACGTCCCTTTTCAGGCGTCACGGCTGCAAGCAGCAGTTCGCGTACTTGTGCGCATAAAGCAATCACGTACTTCCCAGGGTCTTCATTGTTGGGACACTTGCAAATAAGAGTGGCGACCTGCATTCTAGCTTGTGTGTTTCCCTCGTCCACCGCTCCAAGCATCATTTCGATGGTAGCCACAATTCCACCGTCCTCCATCAGCAATCGAGACAATAAGCTGCCACAACGTGCTTTGAACCGCTGACATGCTGCGTGGCCACTTGCTGCGGGAGTAGCTTGGCCAAGTGCCGCGCGTAGACTGCTCATACTCATGCGCAGCGGCAGCACACGTAACATCGCGTCTTGCAATCGAACAAACTCTGTACGGACAGATAACACTCTTTCCGCGTCTACCGCGACTTCTCCGTACACGAGCAAGGCTAGCAGGTCTACTACGTACTTGGGCAGCAAAACTGGCTGGAGCTGTGGAAGCGACAGCAACAGTAGCAGCACCTGGGTAATGTCCAGCAGCTCGCGCATCTTTTCTTCACTCTGACCATTTTCTCCGTCGTTAATGTCTCGGCAGGCATGGTATTGGCGATACCCCCACGTAAGCACGTTCGTAGAAACTACAGTAGCAACACAACGTCAGCACATTACAGCTCGTGTTCCTCCTAGCTCCAAATTCTCTCACTCACTAGCTAATGTACGTGTGTGTCTTCTCTTCTCCACGGGCAGTAGCACACCTGCAGCTACGCGAGGGTACGCGCTCCAGCAGAACAGCACCTCGATTGCCGCCTGTAGCACCGAATAGTCCCGCAAACTCAACAGACCTAACGGCGCCTTGGGTCTCTCTTCTTGTACTAGAAATCCTTGTTCTTTTTCCTTCGTTTTCTGCATCTCCAGCTGGTCGAGGCGCGTCATACAGAGACATAAACGCTGGAAAGTCGGCACGATACCGCGTCTCCACACGTCCTCATGCCACGCGACGCTCGTTGGCGTCTCGGGAGACGCACAGAGCACACGCACGGCCTGCACAACGTCACGTGTTACAATATCAGCGTCTTCGGGGCTTTTGATATCTCGCAGCGCGTCTACAAATTCGCACAGCGAGCGCATGAGCGTTCGCTGCTCATTCTCGAGTTCCATGTACAAAATGGACAATAGCCACGGACTGTAACAATTCGGAGAGACAATATTTCGTTGACATTCTGACCTGTGATTGGCTACGAGTGCTTAAGCACGAGCAGCACTGTCATGGCGAAAATCATGACAAGCAGCAAACCGATACATTTCATGGGACGGCTACTTTTCTGCGTCTTCTCGGCCTTCTCGAGCTCTTCAATGCCCTTCTCCGTCCGCTCCACGACCTGCTCCATGTTGTAGTCAATGCGGTCCAAAATCGTGCCCTGATCAATGACGAGCGCCGAGAGTTCCTTAAATATTGTCGCCAGCTCCGTGATGGACGTGGCAATACGTTGAATCTCCTTGTCACGCTCGTCGATCACATCCTCAGCAATCTCGACCTCCGTGACTTGTGCCTGTGTGAATCCCTGCAGCAATGCAAAAGCACACGCGCGTAAGACCACAGCGCTCCTCGATCTACCACGTAGCTACCTGCTTCTGGTAGCGCTTGTTAAGCGTAGCTAACGTACCGACTCCGCCCCATCACGTCGTTTCTGTGCAACGTTGTTGTCAGCAAGAAAGTCAAACTCGACAGGTCCCTCTTTCTGATGCGTTACGCGCGCAAGGTACGTCTTCTGCGACTTTCGAAAATCGCTCGACAGTGTCTGCAGCTGCGTCGCAAGTGCTCTATAGCAGCAAACCACACCACACCAAGCCGAACGAAGCCACCAAAGCGTCAACAACCTACCAGCAGATCTCCCGCACACAGATGCCTTTCTTCCAGCACGCACCGCTGGACATTCTGTCGAGTCTTGACGTCAGCAGCCGAGAACTCTCGGTTCCCGTCGCTCTGTGCCATCTTCCGCAGCCCCTTTTCGGCACTGCGAAACTCGGCCGTGATCTCCTGCGTCACGTCGTCAATCTCCTGCTCGTACTTGGACTCCGAGCCGTCAAAGCGCACCATAAGGCGACTCGTGTGCAGCTTGTGCAGCCTCTCCACTGCAAGAGCGACACATGCACACGACATTAGACCCCTCTCGATGCAGCTGCTGGACCCCCGAGCCACGTACTCATCTCCTTGATGCGAGCCACGTGCCGGTTCGTGCCATTCACCACGTCTACCCATCCAGGGGCAATCGCGACACTCGTCAGCGCCTGCTCGGCGCTCTCCGTGCGCGCATTCCCCTCGTCTCGATGGCGATGGCTCACAATGTTCTTACGTCGCAGGACTTTGGCCTTCTCTTGCGCCCGCAGCTGCAAGAACTGACGCGTCAAGTTCCGTGTCGCCATACTGCTCTTTCTCCTCCTCCTGCTTCTTCTTCTTCTTCTTCTTCTTCCTCGTCCCTCTTGCTCTCTTGATACTCACTCGCTGTCGAATAAAGCAGCTAGCGGAACGGGTCCTGTCCTGTCTGTGCTGCTTGCTACGATGCAATAACCCGTCCCGCCGCTGGGTTTTTCTTTCGAAGACCGTTTTACTTTACGTAATATATTGCCGCCAGGTATCAGCAAAAGCAGTAGATTTTTCCGCGTCGCGCTTCTCGGGCCGGCAAAGATGGGTTCATTATGTGGTGCACACATGACTAGCTTGCAATTGAAGTGCACCTACGTGTACAAGTGCCCATCTGTTACCCTGTCTGCCTATCAACCTATCTGGCTGTCTGGCTGGCTGGCTGGCTGTCCATCTCGGTCTATCTGTTTACTTTGACTTGGTCAATCTAGCCCACATGCGCTGCTGGACGTGGAGTCGAAACGCGTCATTTGCACTGCTAGCAAGTGGTGCTTTGTGGTCACGAGTACCAACAGCTCGCGTGATCCGTCTCGACCAGTGGAAGTTCTGCTCCAGCAATGGATCTGTGTGCGTGGAGAACGCGACAGTGCCGGGCACGTCGCATGTTCACTTACTCGAAGCTGAAGTGTTGCTGCAAGACCCGTACTATCGCTTCAATGAGGCGCTCTACCAATGGGTAGCACAAGAAAAGTGGACGTACACGACGCACGTGACGCTGCCGAAGGACGTCGACAAGACACAGACGACGCTCGTGTTTGAGACACTGGACGGCATCGCTCGAGTACTAGTCAATGGCAAGCAGGTCGCTGCGACGGCCGACTCCTTCGTGCCTTATCGGATCGACCTGGCAGACGTGCTCGTGACGAGTGTGAATGAGATCCGAGTGGTTTTCGAGCCTGTGATGCAGTACGCGAGGCGACAGGCCGACAAGTATCCTTACTTTGTCCCCGCGACGGAAAACTTCAACACGTGGACCGAGCCGTCACGACGCTCTTTTGTTCGTAAAGCAGGGTCGGATTTTGGATGGGACTGGGGTCCAGCCTATGCGACGGCAGGCATTGCTGGGGCAGCGTTTATTGAGGTCAAAGAGCCTGTGGTGGAGCTACTGGACTTGGACATTCTGCAGGTCTTTCCAAGCGGAATCGATGATCTCTCAGCTGTGGATGTTACAGTGAGCGTGGCACTGAAGGGTGGCATCGCGAGTCAGCGAGCCCTCACGCTAGAACTATTTGTCGATGAGGTGAAAAAAGCTGCTACCACTACGACGACATCGAAGAATTGGACGGAAAATGCGGTGGTAGATCTCACGTAAGTACATGTCTGGATGCTTAAGTGCTTTCGTTTTGCTAATGTTGCTGCCTGCAGGTTTCGGCTGAACTATCCCAAACTATGGTGGCCTGTAGGATACGGCGAGGCACACCTCTATGATATACGAGTAGATGCTTGGAACGCGCATACAAAATCGTCTCTTTTCCAGAAGACCGGCATTCGTCATGTGGAACTTGTTCAAGACGACACGAATGCTGGCAACGTGACTGGGAAGACATTTTACTTCAAAATCAACGGTGTCCCTGTGTTCATCAAAGGCGCGAACTGGATTCCGACAGATTCGTTTCCTACGCGCACCAAGACATCCACAGTGCAGCATTTGCTCGAGAGCGCGCGTGCTGCAAACATGAATATGGTGCGGACGCTGCAATCCCTTGGCACTGTCTGCTTACTCATGTCTACTTACTCATGCCTTTTTCCGTGGCAGATTCGTGTGTGGGGCGGTGGTAGGTACGAGTCCGACTTCTTTTACTCGGAATGCGACCGACTGGGCATCCTAGTATGGCAAGAACTCATGTTTGCGTGCGGAATGTACCCTCGAGACACCGCATTCCTGAACAATGCTCTGGAGGAGGTGAAGTATCAAGTCAGCCGACTGCGCAAATATACCAGCATCGCAATATGGGGTGGCAACAACGAGAATGAAAACATGATGGAGCAATTCGCTGCAGCTCCGATCTTTCCACCAGGAACGACTTTCAATCGTGATATCGCGGTTGCTGACTACACCAAGCTCTATGTCGACCTCTTTTACCCTACGGTCACTGCAATCGACTCATCCAGGCCGTTTGTCGACACATCTCCGTCAAACGGCTTGTATTCCGTCGATCCGTACGTCAAGCGATGGGGGTCTTCGAACGACATCGCGTATGGGTGAGTTCGGTTGGATTTTGCGAGCAGTCAGTCGTGAGGAGCTTTTCTATTCATTTTCTGTGTGTATTATCGTGTTGCAGGGATGTCCACTTTTACGACTACAACAACGATTGCCAGGACTATCGCATATATCCTCGAGCTCGCTTTGTGTCCGAGTTTGGTTTTCAGAGCTGGCCTTCAGCTGCTTCACTTCGCGACGTTAGTTCAAAAGAGGACTGGGGCTCTTTCCAAGCATTCTGGAGATTCCTAAAGTTTCGCGAAAGACACGAGAATGGCACGACTCAGATGCGTACGCAATTAGAACGCCGCTTTGACATCCCGTTACCCTTCCGCAACGAGAAATGGCTTGCGGGAGCATCTGATACGCTGGAAGACGAGTTCTCTGGTTTCAGCATCAACAAGAGCATCGAGTCGTATTTGTACCTCACTCAAGTCCAGCAAGCCTTGTGCTACCAAACCGCGATACAAACTTGGCGGCGCGGTAAGAACCTCGAGCTTGGCATGACGATGGGAATCTTGTACTGGCAGCTGAACGATATTTGGCAAGGCAGTAGTTGGTCGAGCATCGAGCACGCAGGTCGATGGAAAAGCTTGCACTACGTGGCAAAGCGCGAGTTTGCTCCATTCATCGTTTCAATCCATGAGCAGAGCAGTGACGGAACCTTGCAAGTGTACGCCGTAAGCGACGTGAACCAAGAGTTAGACGTGAACATCGTCTATGAGCTCCGACGAGTCAAGTGTGGCAGCCTCGTGAAGTCGATTGCGCGCACTGCGGTTGAGATTGCAGCGCTGGTGCGTGACGATGACGTGCAGTATGACATTCGGGCTCGCTAACGGATCATGTGTGTTGTGCGTGTCCAGGAGAGCCGACCGATCGACGAGCTCAATGTCAATGCCCTGCTCGATCACGATGCTACCTCTTGTAGTCGCCAATCGTGCTACTTGGACATCCGCTGTGTCGTGAAGAACCGCGGTACTCGTTCCGAGGTCACTCCTGTCTGCGAGGACACGCATCACTTTTTCGCCCCGTTCAAGCACCTCGACTTGGGGCAAGGCGAGGTGACCGTGCACTCGGTCGTGAAAACAACCGCTGCCAACGCTACTGCGTTCCGCGTAGAGCTCGTGTCGACGGACTTTGTCGCGCTCTTCGTCGAGCTCGATGCCCCGGGTGTGCCTGGCTACTGGAGCGTGAACTCGTTCTTGATGCTGGACAACACGATGAAGACGCTCACGTTCCTGCCAGCGCCTTCGCAAGGGGCAGCCAAGCTGTCCGGGGCTACGTTTGCCCGCCTGGTCGCCGTGAACTGGCTGCAAAAGCGCTTTGATTATGAGACGGCGCACATTGCGGTCATGTAAGGAGTCCTTGCGGGCGCTCGGGGCTCCGGATCTCTCGTGCAATTCATTTGTGAACGGACCCGAGGGGACGAACTGGTTCTTGGCCATAGACGGGGTGTTGGACAGCAGCTATCCCACTGAACGTACAGCCCCCGAGGAGCTCCTGCCATATCTCTGCTTGCGGAATGGACGACCCGACAGCCACTGGGCAGCTCCGCTACCTCAACGACTCGTTCATCCGCGGCTCGTTGACCCGTCAAGAGTATGACGAGCTGCTGCCGTTCCTCACGTCGCCGTCGATGTCGTCCTCGGCCTTGGAACCAGACGTCCCAGTCCAGCGGCCCAGCGAGACAACGACACCAGCCACAACGCCGTTGAGGCCATCGCGCAGCGTCCACTTTGCCGACAGTGTGCCCCCTCCAGAGCCCATGGAGACCTCGTCGTCGTCTCAAATCCTGGCATCGCCGTCTCGAATCCTGGCATCGCCGTCGGCTGCTTCCTCGAGACTCGAGCTGCGCTGTTCAGTGTGCGGCACCAGCAACGACGCAATGGTCACCAGTCGCTGCGACGCGTGCGATTCGCACCTTATTATGACCGACGAGCAGTGGGCCGCGAGACGGGGCCGGGGAAGGAGGGCGAGCTGGCCCGGTGTGACGGCCCACGCACCGTCCCGTGGCACGCTCACGATGGCCAACGACGGGCGCCTCGTGATCTACGACGGCTTCTTCTCGTGCGTCTTACTCGACACGCAGGTCGTCTCGATGGAGCAAGGAGGCACGTGTCAGGTCTTTGTCATGTGCTGCACGTGGCAACCGCAGCGGCCGAATGAACGTCGAGGCCTCCCAAGCCACGCGACTTGGTACGTGTCGCAACGCTTTAGCCACTTCGAGAAGCTGCACAAGGCGTTGAAGCGGAGGTCTGAACGCTTGACAAAGGCGTTGCTGCCTCCGTTTCCAGCCAAGTATTACCTAAAGGACCGACGCGAGAAGAGAAAACAGGGCTTGGCGGTCTACATGCCGCGGCTACTGGAGGTGTGTGCGAACTTACCCTCCGCCCAGCAAATGCCGGAACTCGACGAGTTCCTCGACATTCCGCGTCAGGTCCAGTATTTCTACTCGCAACGTTCACATGCTGATCGTCGAGCGGCTTCAGCACCCCCAGCCAGACTGTCTTTTCAGTCGACGGCTTCGCCCATGGATGAGGTCGAGCTCGGGGAAGCGGAAGTGGCTGTACGACTACTTGCTCGAGCCGTATGGAATGCACGGGGCGACGTGCGTGGCGACCGCACGGTCCAGCATCATTTGGACGTGTGCATACGATTGGCGCCAAGCCTGCAGCGCTCTGCTGATCTGGACAACCCGTTTACGGATGCGGACCTCATTCCTCGTGCGATGCAGTGCCAAGAAGACTTGCAGCAGGCCGTTGCGATGTTCAATGACGCTTTGCTGGCTGCTCCGGGCACTGCTATGCAGCAGCAGCAGCAAGTGCAGCCTACGCGGCATGTCCAGGCGCAGCAGCCATTCACTCGCAACATCGTGCCCGCAAGTGCCGCGTAAGGCACACATGGGCAGGTGGAACCTCACGAGACAAATGCGTAACACCAAACAAGTTGATCGACTCAAGTGGGTTGCTGGCCAAATACGTCCTCGTGAGTCTAGTCATGTTGCCGATGAATGGACGTGTGCTTTGTAGGATTTAATGACATGTATTGGGAAACAACATGCAGCAATATGTAAGAACCTGCTGACAGTGCTCCGGCCTTCTTTTCACACAAGCTACCGACGACTTCTCGCTGACTACGACCCTCCCTTTCATACGCCTCGCGCAGATTCTTGAGCGTCCCCATTCGGTCATCGAAAGTTACAACTTTGTAGACTTGAGCGCCGTTTCGTCCCTGTTCGGTCATTGAAAAGTGCCTAGACACCGTAGCTTGGGTGGTACGAGTTCTGCTGGCCTGGGACGTACGGGGGTGGTGCCTGCGCCCCGCCATTCTCTTGAGCTGAAAGCGCATACGTTTCCGTGACAGCGAGCAACGAGTCGTTGTACAGACCCATGGTCGTCTCTAGATCTTCCTGGCACTGCATCGCGCGCGGAATCAAATCCACATTGGCAAACGGGTTGTCCAAATTCGCCGAGATCTGCAGACGCGGCAAGAGCTGCACACACACTTTGAGGTGATGCTGCACTTGCAGGTCGCGGCGCAAGTCGCCACGTGCGCTTCGAATGGACGCGTTCAACAGCGCTACCGCTTGTTCGGTATGACACAATTCTTCCTCATCCAGCGGTGTGGGCAGTTCAGTAGGCAAACGTGCCTGCTCTCGCGCTGCCATGCCTTCAGCACCGCCAGCATTCACGTTCAGCGCTCGGACTTGTCCAGTTGGTGCGGCACCAGGCTCTTCAGCTCCACCGGTCGTTAGCTGACGGCGGTATTGCTCAACCTGGCGCGACACATTCAAGAAGCGGTCCAGCTCCGGGACGTTCAGATTTTCAGGAAGACGAGCGCATACCTCCAGCACTTGCGCCACATATCGCTCCAGACCCTGCTTGCGTTCCTCAACAATCGCGCTCGAATTTCCCGTCTTCCCCTTGAACACGCCCCCCAGAACGTGTTTACGGGGGAACAGCGGAATCATAGCCACCGCAGTCGGGATCTTACGTTTCAGATCCTTGTGTAGCTTCTCGAACACGCTGAAGCGATGCGACACTAGCCACGTCGTCGACTCGCCCGATTCCTTCGGCTGCCACTGGCAACGCAGCACGTATACCGTGTACTCTGTGTAGTTGTCGTCCTGAAGGATTTGCGTGCGGTGCATCTGTGCCTCGAAGTATCCGTCGTGGATCATAATGTGGCCATTCTCCGTTGTGAACGTGCCGAGGGGAGCTGTTAAAGTAGACATACTTCTCTGCTGACGAGAGTCACCCCCATAGTAGCCCGGCTCAGCGGCGGCCACAGCCGCTTCGTCGCTCGTAGTAAGAAGCGATCCACACTCGTCACAGTGGTTACCGTTGGCCGTGTTGTTCGTGGCACCGCACGCCGGGCAGCGAATTTGAATGCCGTACACATTTGCAGAATACAATCGGCTCAACGACTCCTCCTGTTCGGCAGTGAGGGCAGCACCGGACGGAGCTTCTTCGGGTTTCTCCAGTAAGAACGGCACCAACTCATCGTACTCGGACTGAGCAATAGCGCCACTCAACAGCAGATCATTCAACTGCTGCAGCTGCTCGCGGTTCTCCTGTGATACATTGTCCGGAATCTCCACCACATGCACTTGACCAGCAGATGTTTGCACACTGTTCACCTGCGCAAGCCCACTCAACAGACTTGCACTGACGCTCGCAGCCTCAAGCAGAGCCTGCTCCTTGCGGCGCTCAGCCTCTTCACGCTCGCGCTTCATGCGCTCCTCAAGCTCTTTAGCCTCTGCAATAGCACGCAACTCCGCCTGCCGCTCGTGTTCCACAGCAGCAGTCGCCTCCGCCGCCGCAGCGTCAGCTTCAGCCACCGCAGCCGCTGCTTCTTTAGCGAATCTGACCGCTATTTCTTCCGCCATACGAGCCTCTTCCTCCATGCGAGTGCGATCGTCTTCAGCCGCAGCGCGCGCGATACTTTCACGACGAGCTTGCTCGGCTGCGATACGAGCCTCTTCTTCCCGGCGCTTAGCTTCCTCCGCCTGGCGTTTGGCCTCAGCAGCACGTGCAGCTGCCAAAGCAAGCATTTCTTGTTTCTTGGACTTGAACAAGCGCCGCGCAGTCATACCGCGGAACATGGCCTGCACCACCACCACAGCCGATCGCTTCTTTTTGAAATCACGACGCACCGATAGGGCACGCCACCAACGCTGAATGCGCACCACCGAGTTGCGGCGGAACTGGATACGGCGCAACAGCTTCGAGAAACTGTTTTGCGCGACGACCTTTGCGAGACCCACACGCCAGCGGCGCCGCGCGAGCCATAACTTCATGCGCGACACGATGTGCGGGCCTTCCGTAGCCCAGTTGATTTTCAAGATCGAGTCCAACACAGCGATTTTGCCGGCTTTGAAGAACAACTTTGTTATACCCAGCTTGAACGCATCCATCGGCACCTGGAAAGCCCATAAAATGGCTGTGATGAGCGTGGGGTCACTCTGGTTCGCAAAGAGCCTTTGAGCATCGGGCGGCATGAACTTCTTGTATGCTGCCACCAACTCGCTGTAGCTTACACGAGTAGGCAAGCCAACCTTTAGCACCTGGGCAGTTTGCATAATACCTTGACAGCGAAGCTGACCCACAACGTATCGGGGATCGAACATGCCCACACGCATAAGTGCGTTGGGCTTGATGCAGCGGATGAAGTTACAACGCGTAGCATCCAAGGTTTCCACTAGCTCCTGCATCTGATTCGAAAATTTGGCCGCCACACTCTTGGTCAATTTCCTCTTACCTGGGCGACTAGTATCGGGTTCTTGCTGGAAAAACGCAGGAACCAGTGCGCTTGACGAGCCAGAGAACAGATTGGACATGTCTGCGGGAATGGAGTCGTTATTCTTGTCGATAAAAGACCCAATCGTGTAGCTCACAGCACCAGCAAAGTGCCTCACAATGAACATGTGCTCCATGTCCTTCGGGTGTGGACGCGGAAAGTGCGGGTGTTTGGAATGCTTCGAGTGCAGCGCACGCAAGAACTTCGTGTCGCTAGGCTGTGGGTTCATGGCTTCGGCATCCAGTAGTGTCAGGATACCGTTCGGCTTTGCAGCAATCAACTCCACGCACTCTCTATTGTCGGGCCACTTGATCCTGCCCACCGTAATACCTTCGCGCTTGTACAGCTCCATTTCGGCAATGAACACTTGATTATTGAAAGTCGCCTGTAGCACCTCGTTCGTGTAATTGATCAGTAGCTGCTCGAAGTCGTTGCGTTGAAATGATTCGAAGCCAAAGATATCCAGTACACCAATGTACGGCAGCGGGTTGGGGTCATGACCCAACGACGAGTTGACCTGCTTGATCACCCAGTCGAACATGCGACTATAAAGCGCCTTTGCAATGGCATCACGAGCATATCCAGCAGCCTGTTCGTTGCGGCGGACGGTATACGTCTCCTCGCGCGTCACAATGTCACGCGTCATGATCACCTTCCACAGGTCTTGCTCCTTGACACCCAACAGTCTGGCAGCTACGGTGATAGCACGTTTAGCGGACTTCTTTTCGATAACAGCGGCTTCTCCTTCGGGCGTATCTTCTTGGTCGAGCTCAATGTTACCGAGGTGAAGCAGACCGGCAACCACCGAGAAGATAACATGCTGAACCTGGTCGTTGATGCCAACACAACTTAAACCACGCACTACAGCCTCGAAGCAAGCACGGTCATCCGTTTCCTCGGCAACGTAGCATCCACTCTGATTGAGGTAGCAGAACTCTTTGGCCTCCATGAGCTCGAATTCCTGGCGCGCAGTCGATGAGATTCCAGCCAAGAGCTGGTAAAATATGTGAAAGTTGCGCTCGCCATCCACCTGGTACACCAGACGCGACTTTTCGAGCAAATACGTTTCAACTAGAGCACCGGCCAGCTTGAAGTTGCCGTCTGACGTGAACTGCAGCTTCATGAACTTGCCGAAACGCGACGAGTTGTAATTGCGCAGCGTTTTGGCATTTCCAAAGGCTTCAAGAATAGGGTTCTGTTCAATCAGACGATGGTCCAGTGACGTACCATGTTGTTGACGCGTCTTCGACATGGACTCAATCTCGTCTCCTCGCGCCTTCTTGCCGTACAGACCACGTGTCGTCAAGTGCCGCAGAACGATCTTGGACGACTCGGTCTTGCCGGCGCCACTTTCTCCACTAATGACAACCGACTGGTTCGTTGGTTGGTCCGTGCCCGAGTTGTAGACCATCTGCTGGTACGCCATTTCGGCGATCGAGTACGGATGCGGGGCACTGCCCGCCGTATTCACGACTTCACTGATTCGTGGATTGCGCAGCTCCCGCAGCGGATTCACTGCAATCAGCACGTTCGCCATGAACGTGTAGGGCTTTTGCTCCCCGTCGAGCTTGCAACGCTCTTCCAAGTTGTGCAGCACGCCCGGCTCGTGGATGTAGTACAGAGACGTCATGTCGTCTGCTTCGCGCGGATTCTGCGGCAGCGCAAGGCCGCGATCGACTTGCTGAATCTTCCCGGCCTGGGTACGAACCGTCACCTTGAGCCCGCCAATGGCCATAACGGTGCCCCTGTCCCATACTCGGTCGGTGCCGGGCACCCAGATGGTCTGGCCCACTTCTACGGGCAATAGCTCAGCCTCTACATCGGACTTTAACGCCTGGCGAGCGATTGGAGGGGGCGTCGCCATGGCGCGCAGTCTCGACGCAAGAACAGACGGACAGCGCAGCGGCGAGCAGTGCGGTACAGAGCGCTCGAGATATGACGCTGTGGCGGTTCAAATGAGGGGCAAGGGGCAGTGCACAGTCGAGCGGGGGCCGACTAACGGGCGTGGCAATAGGTCGCAGCTCTGCGGGTTGCGACGCTTGGCTTGAAGTGGGCGAATCCTCCCTTCGCGTGCTGCTTTTTTACGGCATCCGATTGGGTCACAGGCTTTCTTTTCAATCAATCAAACGAAGCCTTGTGTGACGTCGACTCGTCGTATCACAACAGACATGCGGCTTGCCCCGATTATGTACCATCACCGTTTGTTGCATTGTGTTATGCCAAAGAGACTTTTGTATTGACTACGCGAGGGACTAAAGATTCAGCGCAAGCGAGTTGCTGGCTCATACAACGATCGGTCTCTAGGAGATGGAGCAGTGCGACTCAGCCTTGCTATCAATGGCCGTTCTTGCAACAAGGCGCAACGTAGCAAACTTCATTGCTGCGCAGTCGCAAAGCGCTCCAGACGCTTTTGTCTCTTCTCCTGAAACTACACAACAACACGTTCCGTCAATCGTGATCACAAACTGGCTCCGCGGTGCTGCAACACGGACGTACCACTTCACTCGTCTCGAGGTTGAAGCGCTTGGCACGCTCAAGACGTCGATCCTCCTCCGCGTTGAGACCGAAGCGCTTCGAGCGCGCGTCCTTCTTCTTTGCAAACTAACAACGCACAGTAGCGATCAACAAACGCGTTACTTCTCGACTCCGTTCACCGTAAACGGTCCGTTCAGTACGTCATGCACAAACAAGTACGTGCCGTATCATCTGTTTCCAAGTGGAACCGCTCCGCTCGCTTCAGTAGCTTTGACTTCTCCTCTTCGGTCCCTATGCAAAACAAATGACGCTCACCTATGAGTGATGCAGGCGGGCTTACGCAAGCCTTTGCAGGATGGACGCACCTGCACTAGGAAGGTGGAAGCGCTTTGCACGCTGAGCCTGTAGACAGCAGCCACGTCGTTACAGCCCCTATCGTCAGTATCTTCCACATCAACCACTCGTTATTTTACACCGCATTCTTCACCTTCTTGTCCTCAATACTCAAAGGAATGCCAAACTTGGCTGCACGAGCCGCACGCTTCTCCTCCTCTGTCATGGCTGGCACTGGTGCGTCCGGTTCCACTTTGTTCGTGACCTCTTTTTCTTCCTCTTCTCCTTTCTCTTCCGATACAACGTCAGCACCAGTGGTGCTTTCGTCCTCTTTCTCTTCCTTTGTCTCGGCCAAAGCAGCGGTGGACGAGGACCCCACACTGGTGGTCGCCGTCTTCTTGCAAGGCGACGCGTTCTTGCTAGGCGACGCGTTCTTGGATCTTGCAGATCGGAGGTTCTCTGACTCTTTATCTGCCATCGTGACAGCAGCTGCAGCGAGCACTGCAAGCGTCTCCTTCCTCTTTGGCTCGACCTTCCTGGGCTTCTTCGGACTCGCCACCTTGAGCTCCTCCATCTCCTGCGCCTCGCTGCCGAACTCTTCCTCATCCAGCGCCAGCTCCAGCCGCTGGATCAGCTCCGTCTTCAGTCCGTTCGAGCTCATTCCGCGCGACTCGAGAGCCGCGCGCAGCTCGCTCACTTTCATCTTCTTGGGGTTCCCACTCGCCATTTTAGACCTTTGGCAGCGTTCGTCCGGCTAAAAATACGTCACGAACGCGCTCGGTGTCGATTGAGCAAAATAGTGTGGCAATTGTGGTCAAGCCCTGTCAAGATTACCGCAATTTACAATAACTGCATTTAATTTACCCCTAAAAAAGTGTCTGTCATGGTCTTATTTCAATTACTTCGCGTCAATTTGCTATATACGTCCAATTCCGAGCTTGACCATCCATTGTACTGCAGCGCACGGCTTGCTTGACTCCCTCAATTGGAGTCATTGTCAAGTTTTGACCTTTTTTGGCTCGGCGCTACTCAGATAGTAAAACGATTTGATTCAATTTTGCAGCATTACGATGCTACTGGTACACAAAGCACATAAGAGTAAATTAATATATCCGAAGGTGGCACTATTACCCACCCATGACAATTCCATAACTACAAAAGCCCCTGGTTATTGCAATATACGACAATATTACTTATGCAGATCAATATCGCAAAGCGTAGCAATCTTACCGATAAAGATGAGCATTGCAAGGACGGCAATATATGAAAAATACCTCGTTTTTCGGCTTTCAAGCGGATATCAGAAAAAGAATTCGTTTAAGAACACGGCTATGCAAAATTTATGTGTGACGAAAAGCCACTGTAATGATTCCCTTTATACCGTTGACATACCTATCCGTTCGTTTGTTGAAAGTGATGAGTGGTGGATAGCTAGGATAGGAAGATCTGTTAGGAGACCGGCAGAGTGATAGATAACGTTGAACTAATCATTTCGGGAGGCGTCTATAACAACGCTTATTGTTACTCATTAGGATAATAGCCGCGGAGCTATCAACGAAGCTGCAATCATAAGCCACAACGAAGTCCTCCTGTGTTCAAAATATGTTTGCTGGAATTACAATATGTGCATTACCTTGCACCAAAGGGCCTGCTAGCGCATGTTGAGGTCGTCAACAAAATTTAACGTGGTCGTGGACATGATCGCAAAGAAACGCCCTACGGAAGAGCGGTGTGGTAGAGGGCAAGTGCCTGGGTGTGATTAGGTCTATTACTTGGAGGGGAACTGCACGGGACAGATAGGCCTCAACGACAACAATGCCATCTTTGCCGTGGGCAAGGAACGCCACAGAGGGTGGCTGATTGACGATGGTGCTATCGAATGGGGTGGACTTGTAATATGTCATTGGCACGAATTAGGCCAATGCAAATATAATTCTAATTGTTAACAATTTACAATATTAATTTTACGAGGCATTATTAGAGGAATATTACCTCTAGGAGTAATATTCGGCACCGTGCCACTTTTGGTCAATATAGGCTATAACATTGGGAAAAATGCCCCATTTCATCACGAAAATAGAAAATGCCCCACGTTCTTGTTTGACGAATGCGCGTAAGTCATCATCGCACGTTTCCTCCCTGATATAGGCCTGCATACGACGAAGATTGTAGACATTAAAGCCATCAATAAAAGCTGAACAGAAACAATAGATTCATTGGGGTCTATTGATATGACTATGTTTTTTAAGTATCAAAACTGAAAAGCAGGAAAGGAATGCAATCCCAAAAGTAAAACAATATTAATAGCAACAGCAGCACCTACAACAACAACAGCAGTAGCAATAGCAGAAGCATCATTGACAGAGCAACACCAACGTCAACCGCATCACCCACAACACCAACAGCAACCGCATCACCCACAACAACAACAACAGCAGCAGCAGTGGCAACAGCAGCAGCAGTGGCAACAGCAGTAGCAGCATCAACAGTAGCAGAAATAGCATCAACAATAGCAACTTAAACAACAATAGCAAATGAAATAACGTTTAAATCAACATCATTAGTACCGACTGATTGTGTTCACGGCCGCGACCGATAATACAAAGACGCGTTTACGTACTTACATCTCGCGCCTGCGGCTACAACTTGTAGCTGCAAGCGCAGCACGCCCGCGGTAGAACCCTCTCCGCAGCTTTTTAAACAGGGCGGGGGATGGCCACAGCCGTAAAATGGTAGACGAAAATGATTAAGGATGCGAGGTTATATGGCTGCCGCATTAACATGAGATAAATAGAACGTGGGGCATTTTTTATAGGTCGTAATTATCGGGGGTATTTTTTCATGTTACCGATAATATGTTCTTAATATAGATCGCTGCTGGACGCGCGCAACGGGTGATGAGCAAGCTTACACATTGAAATTGGGGTAGTATATAAAGCTAGAGTTATAAGAAGAAGATATTGAAAGGAGACTTCCCTATATTAAGGTCTTCTTCATCAAATCTTCTTCTTTATACTATGGCTGCATTATACTACAAATTTGAGCTAATTTATACCATTTTACTTCCCCCTGAATCTAAGCAGTCACTTGCCTTGGTAATTCTCCTTGTCTAAACGTATTTTTTACTTGAGGTGTGCAAGTACACACCCTCGTACCATATGGGTACGAAAGTCACTTATTAGGAAGTAATTAGTATGCTGTTAGAATGTACTCTTTCTGGAAGGTAAAGAAGGTTCTACAGGTCAAGTGCGAGACCTAGTACAGGTAAGTCCGAGATCACCTCATTGGGAGAATGTGTGTCAGAATGACAGATGGGACGGGAGAGACGGGCGTCATGTGACAAGACAACACATGGAACCAAGATATACAGACGTCATGTGCAGGATGTCACATGGGACGAGGAGAGACGGAGACCATATGCGACTTGACATGGTCAAGTTGTAGTTTCCGTTTCTGGACATAGATATCGTAGTGTTGTAAAAAGTAATTATCAACACAATCAATATATTTCACTGTTACTGCTTTATTTTCCACGAGTGCAACAACTACACTCTTACATATGATTCATCATGCGCTACGTCCACGCGACTCCACAGCGCTATGATCTATTTCACAACGAGAAGTTAAACGTGGGCGTTATAGTAACGATCGTCGACGGAAAGAAGGTAATGATATATAACAAAATGGAATGTGAAGTCAATTGGCATCGAAAGTGCCGCATCAAGATAATGGACGTGTTTGCACATTTCTGGGCTTTACAGGCGTCTGCTTTTGGTAGGTCGACTTGCGAAACGCGGTCAAGTGTCATAGCCGACCGCAACTAGTATACATTATTAAAGAAATACGTCGCATAGTCGATTGGGGTATAAGATGGCCAAAGAATTCTTACTAGACTATCTGCAATTATCAAGTAATGTTTGTGCAGTACTCTATAGCAGACCGAGAGTGATAATTATGGCACACCCGGCTGCGACACCCAAGCAAAGACACCTTGATTTATACCCATCGTGTCGAGATTATAATGCGTGTAGTCAAGCAATGTGTCGAGACGTTATGTGGCGACTGTATAAAGGGTGAGCAAACCGTGATGTCTTTTCCCTCGCGAGAGTTAACTAAGACTTCACGTATGCTACAACTTGTGCACACTAATGCGATGGGTCTGATGAAAAGATCATAAAGGGAGGAGCAAGGTATGTGTTGACACTCGTTCTGACTACTCACGGTATGTAGTAACAAACTAAATGATGAGCAAGATCGAGGTTGCCGGCACCATAAGGAGTTTTAAGCTCTCATGAAATCTTAATAACACGAAAACTTGACGTTCATGCGTTCTATCAATGAAGTCGATATCGAATCATAGACGCATCGGGAACGTGCCGCCAAAACAAATATCACTATTCCCTAACGTTTGGCTCGGCATAGCCCTCAGCACAATCGACACGTGACGTGATTGAGTCGCACTATGATGGAGAACGCGTGGAGCATATTACACTACATGTTTGTATCAACTTGGGGTGGACAAAAGCTGTGAGCATGGTAATGCATAAATAATTAGTCCATTGATACTACCCATGATTACTCGAAACCCTGAAATTCAGGTTCAAGGTGCAGACTCTCATGGGCTGTGTGGACGTGATCGGGTAGGACGAGTACGCTCATGTTGCCAATCTGAAGGAGACAAAGCTCGATCTCTAGTGTTTTCCACTGTATATCCCTAAATTATGCTGAGAATCCAAGCGGTGCCGTCTCTCTATATTAGACGCTTCCAGGTGTCACGTTGTTTTGGGCTGGACGAGCGTAGTGTGTCATATTTATTACACGAACTGAACACGGCTAGATACGGCGATCCATGCAAAATGAGAATAATAATAATTATACACATTGCGATCCCCCGACTGAAAAGTGCTATCAAACAACAAACAAGCTTACAGACTCTGATGATGGTTTTAAACTGTAGTAATGGAATTTTATCACCAGTGCATGTCATGATCGATTAAGAAGGATTGCTAGCCAAGGCATTAATTTTCGAGGGCTTTCTTGTGTTTGAACTTTTGCAAAGCAACTCAAAAGTAAAGCGAAATGTATTCATTGTTGATTCTTTTCGTATACCGAATGTAACATGTTAGTATTCACTACAACTTGACCAAGTCAAGTTGCAGATAGCGTGCGTTCAGTCTGCGCGTCTTCATTTGCTGGTCCCACATGCCGACATAAATTTCCCGGTCTCATCACCCTTGACACCTTAGCTGTCCCTCAAATCATCCGTATCTCTTGTTCCCATATGATTAATTGCAAAACTTACAGGTCACCAGTAGAGGTCGGACGTTACCTGTAACAGGTCTTGAAGTTGACACTTGAACCTTTGAAAACCTGTAAAATATGATAATTACTATCACTTCTCTCGACACCACTCTAAATGTACTTCATCTTTTACAGCCCGTGCAAAGACAATTTCCTCGAAGCCGGCAACGCATTCGTCGAAAGACCAGCAATCATTTCCATCTATTTGATGAAGCTTGGTTGCATGAATGTCGCTTGGGCCTAGAGGCAGATACACTTTAATGAGATATACACGTTTATGGTGATTAATGCTCTCCTCAAACTTCAACATTTCGATCGCAGCATGATCATACATCCACATTGGCTAGGTTGTACAAGCTCCATGACCAGCCCGCCGAGCAGATCTTTAAAGTCCCTAAAGGTTACGACCTGCATGTGATGCTGCGA